TGATGGCGGCACAAACAAATTTTTGTTTGTTTGTGCCGCCATCATTTCAAAGATATTAATAAAAATGTTCTCCGGAGGTCACAGGTCAACCAGCCTGGACACGCCTGCTCACGTTTGCAAAAATGAATAAACTTGGCGTCAATCAACTCGACTATGTTGGAGCTGGTTTGGGCAGCAAATATTTTCGTTTGTGCACTTTTGGCTTTGAAGATATTAATGAAAGTTTAAAGGTCAAAATGTCAACCAGCCTCCCCACTTTTATCAAATTAAACAAAATTGGTGCACAAGCCAGCAAAAACGTAGCGCACATGTTTGACACCGATTTAGTTTGATTCCATAAAAGTGTGGGGGGGGGGCTGGTTGACCTTTTGACCTTTGACCTTTCATTAAAAGCAGCACAAACAAAAAATTTTGCTGCACAAACATAGTCGAGCTGACAGACACTCATTTTGTTTGAATTTGCAGAAGGTGGGGGGGCTGGTTGACCTTTCATGACCTCTAGAAACATTTCTTTATATCTTTAAAATGATGGCTTTCACAAATGAAAACGTAGCGCACACATTTGACACCAATTTAGTTTGATTCCATAAAAGTGGGGTGGCTGGTTGACCTTTTGACCTTTAGCCTTTCATTAATATCTTCAAAGCCAAAGCAGTACAAACTTTTGACACCGGTTTTGTCTGGTTTGAAGAAGGTGGAGGGGGGGGGGGCAGCTTCACTCAGGTAGAATGACTGACCGTGTGTGAGTTCGTAAAACCGAGAGTTTATTGTTGTAATTCATGCGATTCTGTTTTTGTTAAACCATGAGTGTATTTTACTGACTTGTTAGGACTTTATCTCACTGTTTTGTGTTTTAAATGAAGCTATGCTTATCCAGCGGTTGGCTAGCATAAAGATTTTAATGCTGACTCATGTTTAACATGTACCTCAGCTGTTACTGTGTGGCTGCCTCTGTTCTGCATAAGGGGTGAATGTTAATGGAAATCTTTATTTTGTCTGCAGTAAAAACACCAAAGAGTATCTGAAGCTCATTGCATTCCCTTTAGTTGGTTTTGAATGTGGATAAAACAAAAGCAGTGCTTTTCTTGAGAACTATCAGCAGGGGAGCTGCCAGGAATCGTGGGGCCCCTGACAAAAATTTGTTTGGGCCTTAGCGCTGTCAATCAACTTCATTCACTCACTGCTAAATGTGCTGATGGTGGAGAAACAACTTATCATTACAAGAAACTGTTTATCTGCCGTCTTTAGCTATGCTAACTAAACTGAGCATTCACAGTTTGATATGCTAGCAGCAGCATAGCACAAAACAAGGGGGAGGAAGGGTGACCAGCACCACATGAGATTGTGATTGACAGCACTAAAACTCTCCTGCTACTAACTGGTTGTATCTAGCACTGGGAGAAGCCAGAGGAAATAGATTTTTCACAGATTATCTCTCATACCATACTGTCACAATATAATGACAGTTTTAAAAAAATATGTGAAAAAAATTTTTATATAAAAGTGACAAACTGCAGCTTTAATTTCACTCAGGAGAGGACGTGGGTCAGGAGGGACGTGGGTTAGAGCTGCTGCTGACTGACTCACCTGTCAAGTGGTAAAAGGTACAAGTGACAAGTTAAATATATGAATATGTTGGTAATATATGAATGTGTTTTGATGCTTGCAGCAACAGTGCCACCTGGTGGCAGCTAGTATCCACTGACACTGAATCGGAGATGACTGTATGTGTCTATATATGTTCCTTTTTATTTATTAGTTTTTATTAAGAATATCCTCCCCGAACACGCCGATGAAATTCCAAACCAAAAGTGAAAAAGGTGAACAAGACAAAAAGAATGAAGAAGAAGATCCAACTCCTAAAGAATTACAAAACACTTTCATCTCGGCTGCAACTAGAAAAATACACGATTGAGCCGACCAAAATAATGAGTCATAACTCATTTATAATGTGTTAATAATTCAACTCAACTGGTGTTTTTTTATTTAACACAATAATTGTCTTCACCTGAGTACAGTTCAAATTAAATCGTTTTAGTGTGAACTAATGTCCATTTCTATTCTTTATATTAATGTCAAGTTATTAGAAATAAAGAGGAAAGTTATGTTTCATTTTTGTCAAAATAAAGGAGATTATATTTATTTTATCCCAAAAACTCATGAAAAAAACAGATGCAACATTCTGGTAGAGTGAATATGTACAAAAAGGAGTCAGCAGGGGTCGCTGTTCTGCAGGGGAAATTCAGAGGAAGATTTGTACAGTAATGGATTATTCTAGTTTATATTGATCAGAGACTATTTATAATAATATATATGTATGACTAAATAATCAAACAAGTGTAAAAAGCAAGATCAAAACAATATTATTTTTTCCTTGGAGGTAAAATAATAGGTGGAGGAGATTTTAACTCTGATGGCCACCAAGAAATGGAATGCCATTTAATTTAGAAACTATCTAATTTTCAATGTATGGACAGTAAAATATTCTGGAATGACTTGCAACACTTTATCCAGCAAAAAACAAACAAAAAAGGGCAAAGAATTACCCTTGATGAGAGACATTATAGTCTTTTAATGATAAAGATATGAACAAAGAAGCGACTCATTTTATTCAACTGTTGCTGCTCATTGGTAAATATCACATTCATTAAACAGAAAAAACAAGTAAAACAAAGTAAAATTCTTCTTCAACGTCTAAGATAAATGCAATGCATGTTGTGAGGGCAAGAATATTAGATAAAAACCTGCACATTAGTAAAGGAAATGCAGTTGGTATCGTTGCACATTCCCTTAGGAAACATAATTTACATTTTCTCCTTCAGTTGCGTCATAAAAACGATCCAACATCCATCTAATAAATCCTCAGGTCATCCTGAAAAGCAAACAAATATGAAAGATAAAGGTGATTTTATCCACATTAAAAGGAATCCAATAATTTATTTCTTCTGTTTTGGTAAAAATGTTTTGAAAAAGTGTTTACCTTTTTAAAAGTTGTGGTTGGATCAGGTGTTGGAGGTTCTTCTGTTACTTCTGGTCTTAAACAAGGTGGATCTTCGAATGTGAAATGGTGCAACGTTGGCTTCACTTATAAACTGAATGAGGAAGTTCAAAACTCTGTAACTTTCATAAATCTGCTGTGGTTTGATGTCAGCAGATTAAACTGTTGGCATCTGAGCCAAAGGACCAAAAGGCTGGAAATGAATAAACAGTTTGTGAAGATTTTAGGATCTTTTTTATTTAAACTGAGATGTGCAGATATTAAAGTTTAACAAAGGGAAGAAAAACTCATAAACAGACGTAGTTATGTAAAATCAGAAAAAACTTTTCATTTATTGTTTAAAATGAAAAATACAGAAGCAAAAGCTGAAATATACGATAAAATAAAGTCAGACGGTAACTTTATTACAACACATAATTTTGTAAAAAATATTCTCTTGCATATGAGATGAAGAATCAATCAGTTGAAGTTTTCTGTTAAGTAATTTTTTATATATTTTTGTAAAACTAATCATATTCTATGAAATTGAGTTTTTTGATACATTTTATTTATTTTCCAACCACATCTGACCAAATATAATGATCTGTTGTGATTATTGTACAAAAACAGAAATAGTTACAGTAAATGTTTTATCAATAGGAAGTAAAGCAGAAAACTGAGAAACATCATGAAATTGAAGCAAATCTGGTTGGTAATTATCTTGACTGGTTTTTAAACTGGAATTAAGAAAGTATGAAGAAAATAAACATAAAACAGTTTTAATATGCAAACAAAAAAATGAATCAAAAGTTCACTGAAATCAAATTTTCCAGCATTCAGGAAAATTATGTTAAAAGTCAAACACCAAATGTTAAAAGTATAGAAATGATAATTTCACATCATCTTCCCAGTTTTTACCTAAATTTATCCCTTGTCTGCCCGTCTGTTGGTCACCAGTTCCTTCAATCAAGCCTCTACATTCTGTATGTTTTAGCTTAAACTCTGTTGCTGAAGAAGCTGGCGGTTCCTCCAGAGCTGCTGGATCTGCTTAAGTAGCAGAGCAGACCTCCAGTCAGCATCAACATCAAACCAGCTACAAAGCCGATATAGATGCTCGCTCCCAGCATCACTCCCTGTGGTGCATTTCTCATATCATGTGTCACCCAGCTGACCGGGATGATCACCAGCAGGCCGGTCAGCAGCAGGCCCACTCCGGCCGCCAGGATCATTTTGGGTTTGGTGTTTTCATTCTGAACACATGGGGTGAAGTCGGAACCAAAGATCAGGAGGAGGAGGCTGAGAATACCCAGCATGCAACTGATGATGGTCAAGGCCCTTAAGGCCTGAATTTTAGAGGATATCAGGGAGTCATCATGCGTTAGGCACGCCTGCGGTCCAGTTCCCTGCTTCATACACGTCTTCCACAGACCTACATGAAGTTCCTATCCACCCAAACACAGAGAAACAGATATTTACATACAATTTATTAAACATGCTGTATGATATTAAATCTCATAGAAAAATCTAATTAATTTCTTTTTACTGAATGTCAAAATTATGCTTTTTATTTTTATTCTTTTATTTTATTTTTTTGAGAATATTTTTCAACTCTCATCCAAACCAGAAGTTTATATAAATTAATATCACTGAGTCTTTAAACAGTTTAGAAAAGCCCAGATGATGTCAGGAATCTGTACGTTTCTGATGAGGCGTAAAACTGCAAAGTCAATATTATATTTCATTTCTACAGCATTTTTATAACAGTTGTTATAAAGACATTCTGGTTAAATTATGCAATAACACATAAAAAAGTAGCTGATTAATAAAAAACCTTTAAAGCTAACTAATCATAATTATTATGCTAATTTGAATCATAAAATGCCTTTTGGTTACCATATCACCCTGATGGACCACAGCCCAGGCAGGCAGGGCGCAGCAGATGATGACCCCAAGCAGCCCGATGGCGCTGAGAGCCACAAATATAATCTGAACTGTTTTTGATGCCATTCTGTAAAAAAGAAAGATAAAAACACTGGAATTAAATCATTTTCTGTGATATAGTCTTGGGTTTTCCTCTTGGCTTTGGTAATAATTGGCAGGATTGGGTCTCTGGCAGCAACATGCACAGATAGACACTAGAGGGCGCTAGCCTCTATCAGTCTACATAAAAACAACTACATATAAACTTAGATTTACATTTTATATTTACTCAACTTTAGCTTCTAGGAAAATGTTAAATCTTTCTGCATCAAACTTGCACAACGAGCCACACGATGAGTCTTTCACTGTCCTTCTCCTTCTGCACAAAAACTAAAGTGAACCTTAACATTCATGACCTCAATAAAAATACCAAGCACTAGTTCTAGATATAGAGAAAATTTCCTGCTCATTTACAGAGACAATACTCCCCACCGTGTGGGTGTAGATTACATTTTATTTTCCATTTCTGTGTTTAAAAATTACAATGTGATTATCAGACTATTTTAATATGTAAATATCAGTCATATGTCTCACTGGCCACCTGCACAGGTGATGATTCCTATGACAAAGAATCTCTGTTAGTTTTGATCAGGACTTGTAAGGAGCTTTTCCTTTTCATAAGTTTGGCTTCAGCTGAGGTAATGCTGCCATCATTTAAACATTCTTGCTCTCCTGCAACCAACTTTTTGCTTTTCTTCAACAAAAAAATTACATTTTATTTATTTTTGTTTTGTAAATTCCCTTGAGATAACGTCTCGTAAATTGGTGCAATATAAAAAACCTGAACTTCAAATTAATTAGTTTTGTCTCCTGTTGTCTGTAATTGCTGCCTACTCAAAAACCATGAGACAACTTTCATATAATAAATCTCAAGAGCACAACAGTGTTGTAGTACTTGAGATCGGTCTTGGTC